CTGCGAGATGCGTTCATATGATTTGAATATGACGAGAAGGGTTTGCTTGAGGTGTAGAAAGAACTATTTGGTGCTTGATTTCCATCTTGATTTGACGTAAAGTCTCGAGTTATGGGTGTGTTGAAGGATCCTTTTCATGTTGTTTAGTTGAGGAGTGGAGTAGATTTTCATATCGTGATATGAGTTCAGACTCAGGAAGATTAAGTGGTTGTGTAATAGTTATGACTGTGGAAGGGTACAGAAAGATATCAGTTTGAGGCTAAGCAGGTGGGTTATCTCTTGCTGGATGTCCTGAGGTTGTGTGATCCCTATGTTGTTTTGTTGAGAGTTCTCTTTTACCAGTAAATTATATGTAGTGCAATTTGAGTTTGGATCGCCTGTGGAAGTTGGCTTGACTGTTACGAAGACGAATGCGAAATTGCAAATGAATTGAGGTATTATGTGGTTTGTGTTACATGAGCTTAGGAAGGATTTAGTTGAATCCTATTGCGGTGTTATGCCAGTATGGGGGTGGCTATTGTAAGTTATCAGATGCTTTATTCCTTAGCCTTGAGCCAAGTGGGGGAGTATGCTATCGATGGGTTGATTGCGCGGTTATGTGTTGTATTATTTTCAGTTTGAGGTATACTGGTGAATCAGTTATGGCTTACAGAGGTTGAGATCGAGGGTGACTCGAGTAAAGGAAATTTTGGATAAGGGTTGTGTTATGCTTTATGGGTATATGAGAAACATTGGATGATTGAGTTGTTATTTGTAAAGGATGTAGCATGCATGGGGTAGGGATTCACTCGGTTTCTTAGAAGAGTGGATTACATCCTTACGTGTTGTTGTGCTAATGGGGCACATATCATCCGGTTCGTTTGATCAATTTAATTGAGATCTGAGTAGAGTGGAAGACTCTCAAGAATGGTTCTAATGGATGCAAGATTTAAATGTGGCAGTTGAGAATTTTGCGAATTTATGTATGGTTAAAATCAGAGGGTTACACTGGATGGTGTCGAGACTCGCAGTATTTCTACATCATTGTGGATTCTACATTTCAGTATTAGGAAGGTAAGATGAACAACTTGAAATTCACAAAAGGTCTCTTCAGAGTGGGTATCTCGATTGTAGTACTTTTGTGGTGCTTAAGAGAGCATTCAATGGCTTATGAGCCTTAGGGCGGTGTGGTTTTATGCTAGGGTCTCGTGTGGTGAGTCTTGGGTTGAGGATTGAAGTATTATGGCAAAGAGAGGTATCAATTTGAAGGTAATTCAGAAGGGACTCGGAGAATTAGGACAGTTTAGTAACGGGTTGGATCAGCATGGTAACAGATGCGATTGGCTCTTTTGGTGCTTATGATTTAGTGAGTTTCTACAGGTGTTTTGTGGAGATACTCTTGGGTTTTGACGGCCTGCATAGCCTGATTGAGTTAGAGGGGTTTAGTCATGACGGTTTGGTTTTGTGCAATGGGATTCAAAGAGTTCTTGATGGTTTCTACCACAGTTAGAGATGTATATTTCCTACTGGCGTGAAGAGCATGTGATGTATAATGATTTTCTCCTGGATGGGATCAAATGGAAAGTTCTTGGCTAATTAAGTATGTAGTTGCTTGTGACTCGGAGTGAATTACGAAGCTCTCATTTTTTTTTCGTATGATGGCATGGAATATGCAGTGTATTGTGTAGGATTGAGAATTGCATGTGTAAGGTCACAGTTCAATTTTGAAGGGAAGGTCATGAGTCCTTAGGCAGCATGGACAATTTCGGACGACTAGGTAAATGATATTACTATCTGATATGGCTTGAGGAGGGTATACATTTCAGAAGGGAAGTACTAGAATTTGGCTTGAAATGGCGAAAATTGGAATTTTGAAAAGTTTGACCGGGAGTGGACCTTTTGATATCGGGGTCGGATTCTAATTCCGGAAGTTGGAGCAGGTTCGTAATGTCAAATATTACTTGTGCGTAAAATTTGAGGTCAATCGGACGTGATATAATATGTTTTGGCATCGGTTGTGGAAGTTCAAGTTTCACAGTTCAATAATTTCGAATTGAGGTGTGATTCGTCATTTCGATGTTGTTATGTGTGTTTTGAGGATTCGAGTAGGTCCGTGTTATGTTATAGGACTTGTTGGTATATTTGGACGGGGTCCCGAGTGACTCGGGTGAGTTTCAGACGAGGTTCGGATCATTTTCATTCCATGTTGCATTACTGAAGATTTTTTGGTTCTGGTATAACCGCGCCTGCAGAGTGTTGAGCACAGGTGCGGAGCCGCAAAAGCGGCAGTGCCATCGTAGAAGCGAGAAAGAGAGTGGGGCGCGAGGATCACAGGTGCGGGTGCTTAGACGCACCTGCGCAACCGCAGATGCGGTTCATGTGCGCGGAAGCGCGATCGCAGAAGCAGCTTAAGGAACGCAGGTGCAAGGTTTTGCTGAATGAGGTTGTTTCGCAGAAGCGAGAAATTACCGCAGAAGCGGTGGTCGCAAATGCGACAATTTGACCGCAAATGCGGAATAGCTGGCCAGAGCTATAAAAATCGAGGTTTTGGTTCTTTCTTCATATTTTGAGATGTGGGACTCTGATTGAGGCGGCTTTTGAAGCAAATTTTATCATAAGGATTCGGTTAAGTGTTCTCTACTAAGTTTTGATTATATTCCATGAATCTATCTTCGATTTTAGCAATTGGTTGATGAATTTTAAAGAGGAAATTGTGGGTTTTGGCCTAAAGTTTCATAATATGAATTTTTGAGTTTTGAACACCGATTTGGAGTCAGACTTGAGTGAAACTAGTATGATTGGGCTCGTAATTGAATAGGTTGTCAGATTTTGTGATTTTGTCGAGTTTCGAGGCGTGGGCCCCACTGTGAATTTTGGCCGGATTTGGGATTTGATGTAGAATTCGATCTTTATCATTTGTAATTGCTCCCTTGGGCTTTATCTGATTTATCTGAGTTGCTTTTGGCTAGTTTTGAGCCGTTTGGAGGTTGCTATGTGCGTGATGGCATTTTTGGAGCATCACTTGGCTTGCTTGGTGTTGGAATTGGCTTGTTCAAGATAAGTAACTCTTCTAAATTTAGTGCGGAGGGTATGAAACCCCAAATTACGTATTGATTGATTGGTATTGAGGTGACGCACATGCTAGGTGACAGGCGTGCGGGCGTGCACCCTCTGAATTGTTATTCCATTATTTCCATGGCACAATATAATGGCCCTATTTTTGTTGATATCTGTGTTTTCACCATGTGATAAAGTAACTGAGCTGTCAATCATGCTAGATATCATGCTTAGGCTCTATGCTGATGTTGTTAGGACCCATAGAGGTCATTGCTTGCTATCATCTCACTGATTTCATTGATATTTCGTGCTCAGTCATATTCATGCATTCATATCATATCTCAGTCTCAGTTGTTACTTATTGATACATCATATCATTGTTCCGGGTCAGTTTTTATGACATTGTGAGCCCGTGGGTGAGACTGGAGAGATTGATGACTGAGTGAGGCCGAGAGCCTGATTATGTGTAACAGTTATGGGATCGGGCTGCACGCCGCAACGGTTATATTGATGATTATGATAGCGCTTGGGCTGTAGGAGCCCCTCCGGAGTCTGTAACACACCCCCAATGAGAGCGGATGATACTATTGAGGGATGGATTTCCCTGGACATGGATTTGTCCGAAGTACTTACTACCTGGAGATGGATTTCTCCACAGGGTTGGATTTCCCTTTTTCCTTGGTACTGGGTAACTTATAGTCAGTGATGTATATGTTCTGGGATGGATTTTCTTAGGCCGTATGGGCCATATACAGTACCGAGTGGTTGAGCATGATGAGTGAAAAGTGAGAAGTAGTGAGATTGAGTACTCTGAGAGTGTGAGTACATGATTCATCTCTGAGATACATGGCATTGGCATGTACACATGACATAAATATATAAAGATATATTTTTCTCATGTTGTACGGTATCACGACATTCATGACTTTTACACACATTGATATGTGACCATAGATAGGTATTTCACACTTGCTATCTGGAAAGGAAATGAAACATCTTACTTATTTTGGAAAGGAGTTTTGGAAAAATTTACAGTTTTCAAATTATCTCATACTTTTCGACGATTTCGGTAAAGGATTTGGGTTTTCACTGTTATTCTTGAAAAGCGAAACTATTTTTGTGAAATTGTGATAAAGCTGAGCATTTTATTTCTGAATTGCTTCCTTATTTATATGCTCTACATTGTTATAAATAGTTGTTGGCTATTGGTGTTGGACCCGACCATATTCCAGCTCGTCACTATTTTCAACCTAAGGTTAGGTTTGTTACTTATTGAGTACATGGGTCCGGTTGTACTCATACTACACTTCCTGCACATTGCGTGTAGGTTTCAGATACCTATGTTGCTGTGTTCGATGGGAGATGGATTGAAAGATGTACCTGCGTCCCTGTTGTAGCTGGCTCTTGTTCATGGTAGCCTTAGATTTTAAAACTCTATTTATGTACTTTTCAAACAGAAAGTGTATTTAGTTCATATCAGCTTTGTAAACTCTATTCTTAGGAGCTCATGATTTGTACTACCAGTCTTTGGGGAATGTATAAGATTCAGATAATTCCTTTGTTTAATTGTCTTATTAAAAAAATTAATTGAAATTGGATAGTTATTAGTTGGCATACCTAATGGGTTGGGTTAGGTGCCATCACGACTAGTGAATTTTGGGTCGTGACAGTTTAATATCTCCTCTTGGCGTGCCCATACAATACCCAACTCAGAAGTTAATGTTTGTATCTGTATCTGCTGATTTGCTACCTCAGTTTCAGCTATATTCAAACGTTCTTGTAAACCATGGCGGTAGCAACATCCTCTTTTGCCCTCCTAAGAGAGTCCTCTAATTCTGCTGTCCTCCTTTTTGTTGCTGTAGTTGTATTAGGCTTTGGACCATAGACAAGGCCTTTAATATATCCCGACCTCGTACCAAGTACATTATCAGCAATTTCATCAATAGTCATTGGATTCTCTTCAAAAACAGACCGAGCTCTCAAATCTCTCATTTTGTTCTACATAAAAATATTACATCACTTAAATTAATTATAAGATAGAATGAATACATGTGACATGTTACTAAAATATTACTTACGTAGTTAGTCTGAGCCTCTGGAGATGACCATCCTTTTTCACTCGAGTAATGGGTGCTTTTGTAGAACTCAATCCTATTTGGCTCTACTCCTCCATGTTCATTCACACCCTACACAATATGAAAATAATATGAAATATTACTAAAATATCATCTTAGTAATGAATATGGAGGGTGATTGAACCTCAACCACATTAACATGATTAGATTACAGGTTCAACAAAAGGTAATATATGTATTGTCTAATAGGATCGTGGTTCTTTATATTATGCAGCTATCCATTGTATAATGGAAAATTGGAAACTAGTTTTATGAGTTAATACAAGTCAGATGCAAGTTAGTAGAGATATAGTGTTATGCTTAATCAAAAGTTGAAAAAGACTCTTGTTCCCTTAAACAGAGATATAAAAGTATATGTATGTGACTTTTAATTTCATAAGCTTTTACAAGCAAGGAAAACTTGCAGTTATACCCTCCATGAAGTTTTATTAAGGCTATACAAATTTATATCTGCCTGAGGTACTAAAAGTTAATTAAACACCAGTGACTAACACTCATCTATTCATCTATTAACACGTATATATTTGAAGAACAAATGGCAAAAAATCAGTAGGAAAAATGATAGAAAGGAGACAAATAACAATACTAACTTTTATATTAAACATAAACTAAATAGTGTCCTTTTCTTTCTCTTTTAAGAAGACAAAGAATTGAAGTTATAATTTGAATTATGAATGAATAATGACAATACTTAAAAGTATGTGCAAGTAGAATTAGAAGTATACCAAACTCATTGGCCTTCTTTTCTTTTTTTCACCATTTTGAATATTAAAAATGTCCCTTGAGATTTCACTCTTCGGCTACCAAGCAAAGGGATTGGAAAAGTTATAAAAAGTTAAAATAGTATAACTTACTATTTCAGCACGAGCAACTACAAAAGCTCTTGACCCCATGAAATGATTAGATTTCAGCTTTGTTCGATTGACCTTGTTTATCTCGCATCGTCTTTACAAAGAATATATAAATATAAGTAAATAAAATTATAATGACACAAATATGATGCTAAAGCTTATTATCATTTTGCACTATAAATTCTCAGATGTTAGCATAAAAGAGTGGACAGAAACTAAAGAACCACATCAAACTCTTCTCAAAGGTTGCATTTTACAGAGGCATTTAAAGGATCCTTTTTTCTCTTTTTTTACTTTCACTTTATTTTCTCACTCTTATTTGTATCTTCTGTAAATGCAGATTTTTGAAAGGTCTACTCATATCAATGTAAGCTATATCATCCATGACTGAATGTTGCAGCTACAAAGTAGAGAAAAATATGTTACTAAAAATATCTTGTGTACATTTTGTTCGTTCGTATACTTAATTAATTACAATTTTCTTTGAGAAATCGTGAATGTTATTTGCCAGGAAAAATTACGACGAGACAAATATGAATAGAAATTACCTTATGCTCTGGATTCGCCCACATATCACAGAGCCTATTTGTCACGATCCAAATTCCCCTCCGTTTGGGTATCGTGATGGCATCTAGTCTTAGGGACTAGGTAAGCCTAACATTAATTGAAATAATAATATTATTTAAATAACATCCAGCAATTTGAAATAGAAATTTCTTAAAATCTACAATTCCCAAAATCGGTAGTACAAGTCATAAGTGTCACGACCCAAAATCTAACCATAGTCATGATGACGCCTATCGTGTTATAAGGCAAGCCTAATTCTCAAAATATTACTACTAAACCGATTATAAGAATTTAAAAAAATATTTTAACATTTAAATTTTTCATAAACTAAATTAACTCTAAATATAATATAGAAAAATACGGAAACGAGCCCCAAACATCGGGGTGTCACTAAGTCATGAGCGTCTAAATCTATGAACTAAGAAATAAAACTGTCTAACTGTCAATACAATCCAAAAGAAGAAATGATAAAAGGAGTGACAAGGTTCTGCGGACGCTAGCAACTACCTTGCAATCTCTACAGATAGCCGGCCTGAACTCAACGATCGCCGCGCTGTAACTCACCTGGATCTGCACATAAAGTGCAGGGTGTAGCATGAGTACAACCACCTCAGAAAGTAACAGAAATAACTAAGGAACTGAGCAATAGTAACGAGCTAAGTAAAACAGTCCAATTATTTATTTTCACAATTTAAAAATAAACAGGTAGTTCCATAACTCAGTAAATGCCACAAAGAAGTTTAACAGATAAATGCAGCAACACCACAAATAAATACAACCTCACAGTAGTGTCACTCCATTACTCATCACTCACACTCAGCACTCAATACTCAAAACTCAATACTCTGCGCTCACTGAGGGGTGTGTACAGACTCCGGAGGAGCTCCCAAAGCCCAAGCGCTAAACACCGATAACTCACGTGCCATCATATCAATACCTGGATCCGCACGGTCAACTCACGTGCTACGCGAATAACTCACGCACTATGGTATCAATACCTAGACCCGCACGGTCAACTCACCTACTACGCGGATAACTCACGCGCTATGGTATTAATATCCTCACACCCATGCCCTCGGCCTCACTCAATCATGTACCTTACTAGCCTCACCATCATCAGCAATAAGGGAACACAGCCCACATCAAGTATCACCGTATATTAGCAATTAATAGAGACTGAGGTAAACATGTACAATAATTTCTATGACTGAGTACAAATAATATGAGCATGAATAAAGCCTAAGCATGATCTCTAACATGAAGGCAAACAAGTTCAACAACAAATAAACACATAACCACAAATAATAGCCATTAGGCCTCACAGCCTCACGGGACGGACCAAGTCTCAATCCCTCGCGGTGCACACCCACACGCTCGTCACCTAGCATGGGTATCACTTCTAAACAATCACGTGATGTCAAATCTCCGGGTTTATACCCACAAAGCCAGAGTTAAAACTGTTACTTACCTTAACAACGTAAAAATCCTACTTTGGGATGCCCTTGTGTCTGGACTCGGTCTCCAAATGCTCCGAATCTAATCACAATCAGTACAATACCATCAATATACGCTAATGGAATGAATTCCACAAGAAAAACTACAAAATATGCCAAAAATCCGAAACTGGCCAAAACCCGACCCCCGGGCCCACGTCTCGAAATTAGTCAAAAATGGCAGAATAATAAACCTCGTCCTCTCCCAAGTCTAACCATATAAAATTCATCAAAATCCGACATTGTTTGATCCTTCAAATCCTTAAATTACTTCTCCAAAAATCCCAAGCCCTAATCCCTCATTTTCACTAATTACAATGATTAAACAACGGAAAATCACCAGATATACAAGTATTAGGGCTCAAGTAACTTACCTCACCCTTACATTCCCTCTTCAAATCTCTCCCAAAAGCTCTAAAACCGGAGAGAAATGGTGAAGAATGCACCAAAATTCGCGAAGTGTGATATATAGGATCTGCCCCAAGGATTCCGCACCTGTGGACCCTTTCTCGCACCTGCGGACTCGCATCTGCGGTCCCCAGGTGCGCATCTGCGAAAGTCACTTAGACGCCAAGCTTCGCACCTGCGGGCTCGCAGGTGCGATCCTCTCTTCCGCACCTGTGCTCAATGCCATGCCTCTATTTTCCGCATCTGTGACATGCCATCCGCACCTGCGGCTCACCATCCGCAGGTGCGGCCACAATAGTAGCTTTACACCAGCAGCTTCCAGCTGTATTTCTCAACTTCGACAAATCTGTTAACCACCCGGAATCACCCCGAGGCCCTCGGGACCTCAACCAAAAAAATACCAACAAGTCATATATCAACATACCGACTGAGTCGAACCTTCGAATCACTCAAAACAACATCAAAACACGAAATGACCCTCGGATTCAAGCCTAAGAACTTCTAAATTTCCAAATTCGGCAACCGATGCCGAAACCAACCAAACCACGTCCGAATGACCTAAAACTTTGCACACACATCACAAATGATACTACGAACCTACTCCAACTTCCGGAATTCCATTCCGACCCCGATATCAAAATTTTCCACTGCCGACCGAAATCGCCAAATTTTCAATTTTGCCAATTCAAGCCTAATTCTACCATAGAACTCCAAATCACATTTCGGACGCACTCCTAAGTCCAAAATACCTAACGGAACTAACGGAATCATTAGAATTCAAATCCAATATCCTTTTACATATAGGTCAACATCCGGTTGACTTTTTCAACTTAAGTTTCTACTTCAGAGACTAAGTGTCTCAATTCACTCTGAAACCATTCTGGTCCCAAACCAACTAACCCGATATAATATAATATATCTAAATAACACAAAAAGAAGTATAAATAGGGAAAATGGGGCTATAACTCTCAAAATGACCTGCCGGGTCGTTACATTATCCTTATCTGAAATTATAATTATCTCTTCTGTAATTGTTCATCCTTAATTGAGGCAAATAATTATCCTTATACAGGTTATCCTTAATTGAAGTTGTTGTATCTCTCTCTTAATTGCTCAACCTTAAAAGAAGTTAGATATCCTATATTTTAGTTGACTTGTCCTTAATTGGAATTATTCGTCTTGTGTTAGCTCCCTCGTTGTCGAACTGTACATTGTGGACCGTTGTTACATAATATTTCTTTTCTTGTTGACTTTTTCTTATTATGACTAGCGTTCTCTATTGTGGCTACTCCTTATGAAATTAGTTCCTCCATTTCCTTGAGTTATGGAATTTCTAAGTTGACGTATTTGTCATATCCTTGTATTATTATTATCATTGTTGTTGTTGTACTTATTGTGGTGATACACTAGGTTTCTGTCGTGCGGTTATTATTGCGATGCACGAGGTTTCTGCCGTGCGGTCTTTGTTATGGGGTTGCATGAGATTTCTGTCGTGCTATTGTTACTATTGATATTTGTACATGCGGCGTGACAAGGCGTGATATATAACAACATAAAGCAAGTAATCATTGTGGATAAGCAACATAAGGATAATCATTTGCCTCAATTAAGGATGAACAATTACAGAAGAGATAATTATAATTTCAGATAAGGATAATGTAACGACCCGGCTGGTCGTTTCGAGAGTTGTAGCCCCGTTTTCCCCATTTCTACTTCTTTTTGTGTTATTCATCTATATTATATTATATCGGGTTAGTTGGTTCGAGACCTGAGTGGTTTCAGAGGGAATTGAGATACTTAGTCTCTTAAGTAAAAACTTAAGTTGGAAAGGTCAATTGGATGTTGACCTATGTGTAAATGATCTCAGATTCGAATTCTGATAATTCCAATAGCTCCGTATGGTGATTTTGGGCTTAGGAGCGTGTCCAGAATATTATTTGGAAGTCCTTAGAGGAATTAGGTTTGAAATGCCGAAAGTTTAATTTTTGAGAAGTTTGATCGGGGGTTGAATTTTTGATATCGAGATCAGAATCCGATTCTGAAAATTGGAATACCTATGTTATGTCAGTTATGACTTGTGTGCAAAATTTGAGGTCAATCGGACGTGATTTGATAGGTTCCGGAGTCGTTTGTAGAAANGTCATTTATGACTTGTGTGCAAAATTTGAGGTCAATCGGACGTGATTTGATAGGTTCCGGAGTCGTTTGTAGAAATTAGAAATTTCAAAGTTCATTAGGCTTGAATTGGGGTGTAATTCATGATTTTAGCATTGTTTGAGGTGATTTGAGGGTTCGACTAAGTCCGTATGATATTTTAGGACTTATTGGTATATTTGGTCGAGGTCCCGAGGGGACCGGGTGAGTTTTGGATGGTTAACGGATAAAAAATTTAGACTTGAATAGCTGCTGGAATTTTCTGATATCTGATAATATTTTCCTTCTACGCGATCACGTGAATGCGTTTGCGATCGCATAGGCTTAGTTGGTCAGTGAGGATTTTTGTTCTACGTGATCGCGTGGGAATATATGCGATCGCGTAGGGTTAATGTGAGGCAGTGGCAATTTGTGCTTCGCGATCGCGTGAAGCGTGATGCGATCGTGTAGCTCTGGAATTTTGTGACTC